TAGTGCATGGATTTGACTTCGGTAAAGTTATTTAAAGCTAGTTTCTGATGTCAAAAACGACCTCCAAAAGTTTTTAAATTTTTTAAATTAATATATTTTATTTTATATAAATTTAATTAATTAGGGGGGTCGGAAATCGCAATTAAAATCTTAATTTTTTAAAAATATTTTAAAATATAGGCGTCGCTCATATTCACCTTACTTTAAACCCTTGTCCTCCCGAGACGTCTATGAGAATGCCCCAGGAAATCCGACTCCAGCTGTTTTCAAGGTCATCCAGCTGTGTAAACAATGACTCATCAGTGTTAAATTTCACAGAAAGGCGAGACAAAAGAAAATAAAATTTGAAGCTTTTTCTTCAAAATAACCGCATTTCTTTCATTTTTTTTTCAGTTTTAAGTATTTTTTATGCTTAATTACATCATAATTAATGACAGGTGGGCGTTAAGGGGTAATTAAGGAATGCTCCCCTAATCTTGAGAGAGGAGGAGTTCCAGAATTGGCCTCACCAGCAATAAAGGAGACTATCATTTGGGTTTTTCAACTCTGAATAACTAATTTCACATCTAGAACGTCTCTTTCCAAAATCAAAAAATATTCTTTGAATCAAACATGTCTCCATTATCCATTTGAATCATCTTTTGAAAACATTCTAAAGAATATTTTTGAGTCAAATGTGCCTTCTGTTCTCCATTTAAAGTCTCTATTATAAATTTATGACCACTTAAAATTATTATTTTTCTTTTACATGGAATCACATTACCAACATCCAATTCTGACAAAGGTGTTTTTGATTTAGCATTAACAAATATTTTCAACACTTATTCAAATTCAGGAAGTCCAATCCCAAATATGTTTTACTGCTTCTTTCTATTCACTAAAATAATTAAACTACAATTATAATAAAATTACAGCAGTGATATATACAATGAGCTGCTAAGAGAATGAAACGAAATGCTTTTTATATGCAAAAAGAAATTCTTAAGATGATATCTTATAAGCCACATACAACAAAATCTCATTTTAATGGATCAATCAGGGCACCAAAAATCATTGGTAATTCAGAGAATCTGTTATAGTGCAAACAACAATTTCCTGCACACCCAAGAAAATATCTGTTATTTTTTTTTTAATTTCCGTTTTTTTTAAACCTCCTACATATAAGAAATACCAGTAATTGAAATTATTCAGTCTCTTGAGATCTCTCTTTTTTTATTCTATAAAAACACCTATGTTACAAGATCATAGGCTGTGCTGTACATGTGTACAACAAAGCTGACAGAAACTGTATATACTCAAACTCTGCAAGCCTGGAATATATTATACAAAATAGCAACGAATTGAACCTTAAAAGAAATTCCAGGATAATTAATTGCAAATTTGTTAATCAATTGCAATCTCTAACGTTTTCGATCTACTTTGGAGATCTTCCACAGGATTCTTTAAATAGGACTTTGGAACGTTTTTAAGAACGTTAAATTGGAACGTTTTTAAGAATTACTTAAAAACGTATAATTGAGAATTTTTCAACTAATTCTCTTAAAAATTTAAAATAATATTTTAAATGAATTAAATCGAATTTAAATTTCTCCAAAGCCATGCATAAGATACTTGTCCTTCTTTGAAATTAATGCAACGGCCACTCTTTATGGATTTGAATATTTTGAGAGCTTCCAGTGTCCTTATTTGGTCATCATGCATAGATTGTCTTATGATAGAAGCTTGGTCTAGAACTCTAGATGGACTTGGATGTCGTCCGCAGCATACCTGGCTAGGGTGGTGCTGTATTTTCCTTTACTGATATCATACTTGTGTTCAGACAGTCTTATTTTGAGAAATTGTGTGGTGGCACCGATGTACTCAAGACCATGCTAGAATATATTGTCTCTCAGTGTAATCTTATAAATGCCAGGAACCCTAAGCATGTTGGTGTTGTCCTTACCATTTCTAAGGATGTTATAGATAGTGGGAACATGCCTATATGCTAATCTATCACCTCTGAGATGGAAAATTTTTTTATATAAGCTTTTCATGTTGTGGTTATATTTCAGAACTATGCGGCACATGTTGTGAGTGTTCCCACTTCATGATACAAGGTTATTGGGTGTAGGAGTACCTCTGTTGGAATAGGCATTCGCTAATTTATGAATAAGGTTTTTTGTAACCATGCATTTTAGCTATGTCCTCAAGATGTTTAAGCTCTTTTAACATGTCCTCATAATTTGTGCAGTGGATAAAAGCACATTTGGTTAAGGGACGAAAGGCAGTTATTTTGTAGATATATAGGTCGTATGAGTTCGTTGGTATAAACAATGGAAGGCGAGATGGTTTATGATAAATATTGGTATGGATAACTCTGTTTATAATACTGATATTGAGATCTAAAAAGTGTGCCCTTGAATTGCTGGCTTGGTCTAATTTTATGGAAAGTTCATATGGGTTGTTATTCATATGTTCTATGAAACTTTCTATATTTGGTTTTTCTTTCCACATTATAAAAATATCTTCAATGTACCTTCTGTATATGATAATACTAGAAAGAAAAGAAGGTAGGACTGTTTTTTCTAATCACCTAATAGCCATCTCACAAAGATCCCCCGATAGGAAACTGCCCATCGGTACACCTCTTTTTTATAAGAAGGTTTTGTAATCATATTGAAAAAAGGAGGAATATCATAACATATGCACTAGTTCTAAAATATGTTTGCGGTGCTTAGATTCATTGTTTATACTTAACAAAAAATCTCTAAGTGCACAAAAACATGATTGTAAGTGTATTGATGTGTATAAAGAAATAAAATTGAACGTTGCTATATACACACGTGTCACTTGGAGCTGCCGCAATTCATTGATAAGCTGCTCAGGGTTACTAATGGAAAAGCTGTATGCTTTTAAAGTTCTTTGAGCAAATCACGTATACATTGTTCTAATAGCCTAGTATGTGATTTAGCCTTATCAACAATAGGTCTTATGATGCTCCCTGGTTTGTCTGTCTTTGTGAATGCAAATAGTTTAGGGGTATCTGGAGAAGTCAAATGTTTAAGAGAATTAGTTGAAAATTCTCATTTATACATTTTTAAATAAGTTTTAAAAACATTCCAATTTATGCATTCCTATTTAAAGAATCCTGAGGAAGATCTGCTAAGTAGATCAAAAACGTTAGAGATTGCAACTGATTAACGAATTTGCAATTAATTATCCTGGAATTTCTTTTTAAGGTTCAATTCATTGCTATTTTGTATAACTGTATATACTGTAAGCACAAAAAGAGGCAAATTACATATACTAATTAGCACTACACTTGACTTCCCAATTTGTTAAAAAAATCCATTTTAATTTGTTTTGATGCTGATTTTCTACCTATTATAATAAATACAACTGCTTGATATTAGCAATGTCATGTACAGCCTGTTCATTTGTGCTGAAACTCATCAAGTCTTCACAACTTTGGAAAGACTCAATGGCCTTGCTAAATTTTAGCACTACACTTGGATGTTTCACTAGATGAGAATTGGAATGATCACTAGATGGCTCCTCCTCAATCAAATCAACCTGCTGGCTCTTTTTGTATAATTCTTCAATTGTACACATCCCAGATGTAACAAGTGCATCATCAAACTCTACAAATTCCTTAAACAATATCCAAATATTAATTAAACATTGAAGAAACACGAAGCTTACAATAGATGAGGCTAGAAAAAAAAATCTGTTATTCAGAGTTGCATTATCCATTAAGCGCCGATAAAATTACATTGATTTGGCAGGACCTAATAAAAAAATTCTATTGTTTCACAATCCATTAAATGAGATTCTACTGTACTTCTACTGTAGATGCCATATTTTCCATATCATTTCAGAGATATGATATTGATGTAAGTTATATGAAGATTTTTCAGTTCCAGCAATTTTTTACACCTTTCAGTTATATGCATGAAAATATGGTAATATTATTTGGATAGTAAAATGAAGGACCAAATATTTATAATGTAAAGACGTTCAACAAACATTGTAAACTGTAAAATAATTTGTATTATTATTAAATTTAATAATGACATAACTGTTCAAAGAGAAAATTATTTTAATAATAACATCCACAGTTTTTCCAATATTATGCACACAACTATTTTAATTCTCTAAAACTTAAATATATTTTATTTAAGAATAAACAATACTTAGGCAATATATTTTAAGTCTTAAACACATTATAGACTGTTAAAAAATCAACTTACAAAAAATGGCAAATAGGGCAGTAGACAAAAAGAAAGTTCCTCACATTCTCAACAGATGGTGTAATTTCCAATACATTTGCAAATACTCTGTATTTACCAGGAACATTTCCTTTCAATAATTTACTTATTGAAACTGGTGTTATTGTTCTAAAATTATTTACTGGAAGAAAAATATTGTATATACATATAGTATAATTCTATATAACTGATATAAACTACATTATGAAATTATAATTTAACTTATTATAACAAAGTTCAAACCAGTTAATTTTTGCCTTCAATATCATAATTTCTTAATATGATTGTTGAAGGATATAATGTACCAGTACATAAGAGATTAAAGCAAGGTATTCACATGTGGAAACACAAAAGAAAACATTGGATTTTCAAATTTTTGATTGAATTCGACTAGAAACATATCAAAAAGCTAGATTAAAGTGAAAATAGCACTTTTTCAATGCTATATTTTTATTAATTAATTTTTTAATTTGGTGCTGAATTGACCATGGGTCTGCAATTTATATTCAAATAAGCATGCGTGTGACAACAGGTTAAGTGTTTTGAGGTTTGATACTCACCAAAGAGAAAAAGAAAGACAATATAGACAAATATAAATTATGACTTATATTTATATATACTAAGATTTTTCTTGGTTCCTGTTCCTTTCTCTGTTTTTTTTTCCTTTTCTTTTCTTCAAACCTCCCTGTATTGTAGTATCATGTGGGTCCAGTAATCTTACACCATCATTGAAATACTGTATAGTTCAAAATGCTATGCTCAGTTGGAATACATATAAATTTGTTTTATAATAGACAAATTTAGTTAATGTTAACATTACTTGAAAATGACTTTCAAGTGTACAAGTGTATCAATATGTAATCAATAAGTAAAAATCATTTGTTAACTAAATATTGATATTAGCTGAGTTTTAAAGAAAACTTCAAAAAAAAAAAAAAATTGAAGAAAACAGGATAATGCAATAGACTGACATTACCTTCATCAATTAAGTATTGAGAATCTAGTGTATAGTGAAACAAAATTATTATAAAAATGCATACCAGTTACAGTTTTAACTCTTTTCCACTGAAAATTTTCATCACAAAATTCATTTAATATGCTTCCACTATTATCTGAAAATTAATCACAATGAAACAAATAATCAATAACATAATCATATAAAATTTCCAATGAATTATAAATTATCTTAGTAAAAAAAATTTTTTTAATTTCATTTAAAGTTTGGACACAAAGTTTGTGAAAAATAGCTTTATAAATTTTGCATATCAACATTTTCTCTTCAAAATACTGTTTGACTGTCAGAAATGAATTCACAGTGCAGGACAAATGTAAAAAATGAAACAAAATAATAGTCATTGCCTTTATTTTCCATCAGACATTTTTTAGATTTCTTATCCTTCTACTGTCCACTCAATGCTTTATCATAAACAGAATGAAACAGTTCACTAATTTCAGACACTTTCTTCCTGAGTTTCATATGAAACTTTACATTAATTTTCTGTTCTATGAAAATATCAAGATTCATTTTGACCAAAGATTTTTGACTTGTTACAGTAAAAAATTCATATTAATTCAATGATAAATCATAGAACTTTACCACTCACAATGAGCAGATAACAAATATGATGATACATGCTGTTACTGCATGCATCTTGCTAATGTTGTCAACAGCTTCCACAAACTTTTTGTCATACCTCACGATAATCAATCTTTTATAGATTCTAACTTATAATTTCATAAACATTTTCAAAAATTAATTTTGTATATAAACCTAAAAAACTTATGAATAATACTTAGAATAAAATATATTGTTTTAATTAATAATTTAAAATAAAATTTTTTCTCATCAAATGTGTATGCATTTTCAAAATTTTTAAACACTACTTCTTTTTACATAAATGATTATTCTGATTACTTTCAAAACGCCAAAATTAATAATCATCCTAACTACTACTTAATGTTAGTTATAAAAAATTACAAAATTTTATTCATAATTTCATTATGCAATCTTTCATTTGCCTTTTTTGAAACTTTATTTCTGTTTATACTAGTATAAAAAAAAAAATAAATAAATGAGACATCACTTTGGAATCAAAAGCAAATTTCCTTGCTTAAAGATTTCATTTTACCAAACTTCTAGGTAAAACGAAACCTTTAAGCAAGGAAAATTGTTTTGCATTGGCTACCAACTCATTGACATCTTTTGCTATAAATTTGTACAATTAACAGAGAAATAATGAGGCTCTAATGTTTTATTTTTTATTATTATTTCGTTGAATAATTAAATTAAAATATACATAACTGTTTATTAATAAACAATTATACATTTTATTTTTATCATTCAATAAAATGTCAGTTGTATGAATGATGAATGATATGAATGATAAGAGCAAATGGCAACTATGGTGTCAAGGTATACTGCTGACTCAAATAAATAACTGCTCACTTAAAAATAGCTGTAAAATAAACAAATAATGCATTTGTTTTATTAATTTAAAAAATGTTTTAAAAGATTTGTGAAGCCCTGGAATTTCAGTTGCAGAGCCTTAAGGCTCTGTGAAGTCCATTTTGGGAAATGCTGTGTTAGTGTATATTGTTATTACACAAAAGAAAAAAATTCAACAGCCCATTGAAAAACTTTCCTTGAGACAAAAATTTTGTAAATAATTTTGCCTGTAATATACTGTGAATTTCCTTTTCTGTTTTATTTATGCTAAGTGCCATACTATTTATTCTCTTAATAATGATCTGTTCTCTTCCTGTTGTATGTTTTCTCCTCTCTTCAATGACACAATATGGTATTAAGATTTGCCTCAGTCATGACAATCTTAATAATGTGTAGAGAATATGTGTAGTGTAAAGAAAAAATTCTAAAAAATCCAGGATAAAATATATTTTTTTAAGACATCATAAAAAATATATGGCCAATGTGGATCATGTTTCCTGTGACTGTGAAAGGGATGACAAGGAAGACTACAAAAATATTTTTATTTGTATATGTCTTTATTATTTGTATTTTTTACAATATGTCTTTAAAAAATATGTAGTTTCCTTTTAATGTGTAACTTTAAAAAGTTTTTAAATATATTTCTACCATAATTAATATCAAAAAACCTTAAAAAAATCTTTTTTAAATTCAAAAAATGTATTACAAGGTGATCCACTTGAATGGGGATAATTTGAAAGTTGTATCATAATATGAAGTTCAGATTTTGACCACAAAACAGTAAGGAAAAGAGATAGTTTCATTGGATAGTTTTGTCATGTGACAAAAGTGAAAATGTCAATGACCATAGAGCAACATGCTAAGCATGTCCTTTGTATGCAAAGTTTGTATGTGTGATGAGTTTTGTCATGTTTACAATTTCAGGAAGGTGCCTAAGTAAAATTGCATGAAGTATTGGTATTGCACATTTTAAGAAATGGGGGATCAATCATGAAGCTACATTCTGATGGTTGTAAATGGTTGTAAGTGCGATCCTAAGAAAGAAGCCTGTGATTCTGTTGGTGCATAGTCAAGGAAAAATCTATGATGAATGTCCTTGGAGTTGACATTGCCATTATACATCATGTCAATGAATTGTTTGATGTTACCTGTAAATATACTGGGTACCAACAGAATCACAGGCTTCTTTCTTAGGATCGCACTTACAACCATCAGAATGTGGCTTCACGATTGATCTCCATTTCCATTATGTAATACCAACACACTATGCAATTGTACTTAGACATTTTTCTGAAATCATAAACATAACAAAACTCATGTTTAGTCCATCACACACTCAAACTTTGCATACCAAAGGACACGTTTAGCATGTTGCTCCATTGTCAGTACCATTTTTACTTTTGTCACATGACATAACTACCCAACTCCCTCTTTACCTCACCTTTGTGGCAGAATTTGAACTTCATACAACTAATGTGTTTATTATAACAGATATTTCAAATTATTCCAACCCAAACAGATCACCCTACATTTTAAATGTACTGTCATAAATTTAATGCAATCTTACTACTTATTCCTTCTTCACTTTCTTTCAGATGACTATCTGTAATCTCATTTAAAAAAATGTCATCATCTGAAATTTCAAAAATATAATTTTAGTATAATGATAAAAATTTTATAACTTTTCATAAATTTATTATTAAGAATGTATTAAAAATGATTTAATTAATAAATTGGTCAATCAAGTTAATTAATTATTTTATTCTAATAATATTCTAATAAATAATCAATACTGATATTTTATTTTTTCAACATGCTAGAATATTTAAATATTAAATGAACAGCAAAATTCTCTATAGTCTTTTATTTTATTATCTTAAGTCTAATTAATGATTAAGTAATTTGGCTAGAGATAGATGGTTAAGCCACTAACTTGTGTTAAATTTTATTATTAGAAAATAATTTAATTTAGAATATTCTGGAAGAAAAGGAGAATCTGGATGTGCTGTTCATTTTTCATACTTAATTATCAGGTTGGTTGCAGATGTAAGTATATGCTAGAATATTCTTGGATTTCATGCATCATCATCATATTTAGTTTTAGGTGTAAAAAACCAAAATATTTTGTTATAAATTATATAACTAGAAAGATACCATTAGGACAATTCCATCAATACATAGCTCATGAAGTGAAGAGAAAATAGCAGCAATAACAGCAGCAAAACAACCTTGACATAGCCCAATATATGAAAAACACTCACTCAAGCACTTGAGGTTTAGAAAGAGCTCAATGATAGATATTTATATGACCTTAGTCAGGTTTATATAGGTATGATTATGTTTACAGTACTACAGTTTATATCTGCTTTGCCTTTGCACCCCTCATATCACAATTAAATGAAATTATAAGTCATGACTCTGCCCAAGTTCCAAATGCCTAATTTTATTACAAGTGGCTCCAACAATGTAATAAAATTATAATACTAAGTGTTTAAACTACAGCTTAAAATTTAAATAATTAAACAAAAATGGAATATAAAATGAGATAAGAAAAAGCAAATTAGATTAACCATGGACTAAGAAATAAGTGAACTGACAAACATGCACTGGTATCTAGTAAAATAAAGTAATTAACACTTCAGTGTTGTAGCGTTACAAATTGCAACTTTTTAGATTTTAGACGTACTCATTAGCACTGTTGATAGCTTATAGCTACCATCCTCAGGCAAAAAATCAAATACAATTATTTTCAAATGTTCGGCTTTTGAACAGACTTTTCAAATTATCAGTCACGTGGATGGAATACAGAGTAAATTAAAATTAAAATATTTTTTTAAATTATAGAAATGCACTGCAAATGATGTAATATCTCCAAAAATACTTAAAAAGCAATTAAGTGTGCTGTATTTGGTTGTTGTACAAATGAGAATGTAAAATCATAATTTAAATTGTTTGAATAATGTTATCCACAGTTGTGGGATTTCTAAGGTCAGTGTATTGCACAGTGTTACAGTGGATATATAGAAGTTCTCTCTGTAACACTGTGCATTACTCTCCAATCCCTTTAACAAGAGCCTTCTTTTTCCTTTTCTCTCTGTAACACTGTGCATTACTCTCCAATCCCTTTAACAAGAGCCTTCTTTTTCCTTTATGGTTGCTCTTAGTTTTCTAGGTGATTGTGGACCATCTTGCACTCTTATTTTTGTTATCCCCAAAACAAATGCTATCAAGTGTATCTGGACAAGAGACTAAAAATCAATGTAAATCATTGACTATCAAAGAAAAAAATGGAAGTTATTTGTCAAAATGGAGAAAGGCGAGGCTCAAACCAAATAGACATCTAGTCTATCATTTTTAAAATGGTAAATTTCCTTTCTTTTCTCAAACATTAAACAATTTTCAATACATAAATTTCATAAAATAAAACATTTTTTAGTATTTTGTATTGATTACCTAATGTATTTACAAACTTCCCATTATATCATTGATGCAGTGTAAATCAAAATAAAATTTTGATTTAGACTGCATCAATTTAGGCTAAAAATCTCAAGAACCAAAATCCAGCATAAACCAAGTCATATCTGTTAAAAATATCCAATTATTGGTTGGCTTTATCTCTGGGAAGACTAAAAGATTCATAACTGCCACATATGATCAGGTAATAAACATTAAAAAAATTACAGAAAATACATATTAAGATACATCACTTACAGACGAAATGCAGAAAATGTCTGTAATCATCCTTCTTGAAACAATACATCACAGCGGAATACAAGCTCAAAGCACATACAACTGATTTATATAGGCACAAACAAATATAATACATCAAAAGCTTGTATACAAACAAATTATCATACATTCAGATATCATACTATAAACATGTTACAAATTGTGTGTGCTGTTTTTTAACACTATGACAGAGTTGTAGTAATAAAACCATTCATCATAACAGACCAGACATCATATCTACTCCAAACACTAATAATATACACTGATAAAAAAATTTATAAATATGAACTTGCTTAAGAAATAAAGCACCCATAGAAAAAAAATAAAGTATTTTTTGTGCCTATGTACAGTTATCTCTTTTAGATGTCAAAGCAATTACTCAAAATTCTAAAAACAATTAGACCTTACTCACAACATTTACATCACATTTCAGAAAGTAACAATATTAAATATGTCACACAAAAAGTTTTAAATAGATACCTATACTAACAGCCAATGATATGATAAAATAGTTGATTTTAGTAGCTACATCTTTGACTTGTCAGTTATAGTATTTTGCAGCAGTATCAGTTAAATAAGACATTTATATTACCATCATAATAATACAAGGGAAAGTCAGTAATTAGATTACTGACCAAAAACTAAACAAGAAAATTTCTAACTTAAAACAAAATTCCTTTAACATTTAGTCACTTATTCTACCAGCTTCAGAAGACATGTTGCATAAAAGTTTGTTGACTGCTGTCAAATGTCATTGCAGTTTGTGTTCCAAGTCTCTTCAATGTTTCAAAAATGTTTGCTATCTGTTCTTTTAAGGGTCTGTAATGGTGATAATTGCTCAGTGTCTGATTGGGATATATAACACCGAATAATTACCAAACTATATTTCACACTTTAACACAATAAAATTATGTTGTTACTGTTAAATGAATTATTCATAATTATTCAGGCATCTAGTTTTCATAATACACTTTATTACAAATTAGATAAAGATAAAAACCAATAAACTGCATTATTTAAAATTACATAACAGAAACTTTGATCCTACAGAATGCAGGAAGAGAACAAGATCACTAATATTCAACTTGGTGCATCTCATACCTGTAATTATGTGCTGACATTGTATGAATTTCTAAGTCTCAACAGTTACATTTATGTTTGTTATTTTTACATTGTGTTATACATTCAAATTTTATCATGAGTTATATAAAAACTTTATAAAATATTATATTTAAAAACTAAGTAAAATGAGCAATTACTTATCATGACAATATTGGGCTACAATTTTTAATACTTTAATTTAAAAAAATCATATGACTTCCAGTCCAGAAAAAAAATTCATATATTGGACCAATTTAAGTTAATCGAGGCCTCCAGCCCCTAAGCTTTCCATATCTGGTCTTGATTTTCATCTAACAGTTCTTGAGATTAAGAACAGATGGACTATAGTGAGAATCTACAGATCTGCAATTTGAAAATTGCAGTCAAATAACCTTTTATTTTTAATCATCAAAGGGATCATATAATTTTGATTTTTCATTTTGATGATTGTTTTTACTTTTCCTATTAAGTAATTTTTATTTACTAACATGCTTATTATTAAATTATAGCATGTAATAATCAACTGTATCAATATAACTTATTCATAAATAACAACAACACAAAGCCCGAATAGTATACATACTACATTGCCATTGTGTTGTTGTTATTTATATATATATACCTCGCCGGGTGTTACGTTAGCTGGCTGAGTGCCATTGAGGGTCGTGGGCGATGAAGTCGTCCCCAGTCAGTGATGTATTTAACCAAGTAAGGTTATATCTAATCTAATATACCTCTGGAAGCAAAGGCTTGCTCGGGGTCCGGGTGGCATAACTGATAGCGCACCGCACGGCAAGCGGAGGTTGCGGGTTCAAGCCCCGTCCCGGGCCAGTTCTTTTATTCCAGAAGGTTCTAAATTTAATTTAATTATTTATTTATTTAATTTTAATTATTAATTTACTTACGAGATGGCGCCTAACACCTACCTCTTATGACAAATTGCTTTAGTTCTAATCATTTAAGTAGCCATATATTAGCCCGATATTTAGGCGATCGTTTGGCAATGTAGTATATAACTTATTCAAATTATTAAAATATGTAATATAAATAAATTATTAGCAATTAATATTATCTTACTTGAATTAATTTTTAAATTACTTCCAACTGATTGAGAAGTTTCAAAATTTATTCTGGCTAATTCCTCTAATTGATTAATTTCCTTAAATTGTGAATCTGTGCAATCACTGATGATAATACTGTCCATGCTTTCAAAAATAAAACCTAAGAAAATATATTTTACATTAATCTTACAATAAGTATTTTATTCAAATTATCTCATTTATAAATACCTGAGTTTTTCTGTGTAGTTCTCATTTCGGATTCTTGATCATTACTGATTTCATAACTTGAACAACTTGCTAGTTTATCTAATTTTCTATTAATATATTTATCATACCAAAAAGTAAAAAACAACAATTAATTTGATAGAAGAATCAATAAAACACATATTTGATACCATAATTAGTATAAATAATAGTGTATTTCACAATAGTAAAGTTTATTTACATAATCAAGTTTAATTTGGAATGTTGACTTTAGTTATTTTTATAGCAGTTTAGTTAATTCAAAAATTTTGTTCAATATATAACAACTGTTTTATTTCATTTGAGAACAATTGCTGTCAAGATGATGACATTTGTTGAAGCATTTATTTGTCTGTCTGTGAATGTAAATCACATATATTCAAGATTTCCTTTCTTAAAACAGGAAATCTTGAATGGCATAAAAATCTTAAAAACATTTCAGGTGTATTAATTTTAGTATGCTGTTTAACTTTTATTTCCTAATATTGTTAAATTGTAGGTGTTGTTTCTGAAGAAGATAAGTCTAAAATATTCTAACTAATAATTAAAGTATTTTAGACACAATATTTAGAAATAATAAAAGTAGTATTAAACCTTTTAAAGATAAAATATCTCCATAAGTATACAATAATAAAACTGAACTTGGAGTTTTGAATAGTAAGTTGTGGAAGCCCCAAAAATATTCCAATAGTGTGACTATGTTTAACAAAATATTTTCATAACTGCAGTTACAAAAACTGTCTATAAAGTTAACATACAACAAATAAACTCCAGCTCTTCCTCAATAAGTTTTATCAGATATAAAGTTAATATACTTTTTGGAATTATCAAATGTTAACTACAAATGAAAAAGTAAACAGAACAAGTATTTGATTACAGTAATTGAATTTATTCTTATCTAAAAAAATAATAGCAAAAATTTCTCTTATTAAATCCATAAAAACTGCAATAAAACTTCTAAACTAAAAAAATTCAGATAAATAAGACTGTAAAAATCATGTTTAAATTCTGAATAATCTCAACTCTCTTTCTAACCTCTACTACATCAAAACAAGACTAGAAATGAAATCTTCAATTACATACTTTTTTAATTTAAAATAATAATAAAATGTTTTGTGAATTTGTTTATTTACATTATTTGTAAAATGAGTTTTCATGTTCCAATACTTTCGAAGATCCTACAAATTAGTACATAATCAACAATGTTATTATGTGAAAAGCTAAGCCCAACATAAATAATTTCATTTGTGCAATGAATAATAACCCATATGGCCTCTGCACCAAATTGGACCAAATAAGCCAACCTTCCTTGATATCAATATACAATTAGATGGTGACAGGATATCAACCAAGGTTCATTAAAAGCCATGCTACACTCCTCTATTCATCCCTGCCAATTCTGATGACCCCTTTTTGTACAAGCTGGCGGCGTTCCAGGCCCTAACCAAAAGAGCGTTCACACACCACTCAAAATTTGATGATACATTGGCAGAATTACAACGCATCCAGAACATAGCCACATGACACGGGTATGAGCAAAGATTAATTCATAAGCTTGCGTTTGCTTATTCGACACAAATATATACTAATGACAACTATAACTCATGCACTAACAACTCGAATATTTCTCAGTCTTTAGCTGTGATTGAATGTAACCACCACCTTGACCCCTATTTACAGAGAAATTGCTGCATTTACAAACAAGAAAATTGCATATAAGAGGTGTAGTACTATTTATGACATCTTGCGCAACTGCAAAGATGACATAGACAAAATATTGGCTCCAGGGGTATATTCTGTCCCATTATGGGACCATAGATTTCAAAGGGACCTTGTGTGTATTGGCTCCACGATATGTTCTCTAGATAAGCGTCTACATGAATACAAATATGACATGATCATAACAGAAGCACCACTGCCCTATCTACTTATGCTTTGACCCCAGGCATAAGAGCTGACGTGCAAATCGTTAAACTATCACACCGAAGGGAACACATACTATTGCTATAAACTCTGGAAATATACAAAGCGGGGTTATGCAATAACTGCATTAACTCCAAGGATGCGATTAATATTTCTAAAGCTTGGAAAAGTTCTGTTACGAAGGGGAAGACTCCCACAACTCCATTTAATGTGTCTTTCCACCATTTTATGTCTGTGTAAAAATATTTATATATTCTTTTGTTTATGCAATGCTTGATATGCATGCGCAGAATGAATTTTATATGCAAAGTTGAATACGTTCCAAAATGTTCTAAAAAAATTTTAAATCTTTACGCATACAGTTGAAAACATTTGTATTTCAATTAAATATTTTACTGGTAACTTAAAGGTTGTTGTGAGATTATTGTATATTATACCAGTACCTGTAAACAAGCAATTAACCTTTACACAATATTATTGCTTTCTAAAAAAATAAGTTTATTGACAACAATTTAATACCTGACTTACAAACCATATTGCATATTTTTCCAGCTTTATACCATTTCTTGTACTCCAAAATTCTAGTCTAAGCAAATGTTTTCACCTCCATTCAAGGCCCATTTCAGGGTAACGTACACAGAAAGAAAGAAAGATAAAAAAAAATAAAATCAAAACAAGCTGAGAATTTCTATGTTCTATTTCTGGAAATATAATATATAATTTTTAGCTTGCTTGTTTTTCTTTTTTTCTTCTTTCTGTGCATGTTAGCCTGAAATGGGCACTGAATGAAGCTAAAAATATTTGCTTAGACTAGAATTTTGGAGTACAAGATATGGTATAAAGCTGGAAAACTGTACAAGTGGTTTGTAAGTCAATTAATAATTCCAGTTTGAGTAGAATTTAGTAATTTAATTAATACTCATGAAGTATTATTAATTTTTTTGTTTTTTTTAAATACAGTAGAGCGTCGTTTATCCGAATCAATTGGGGACTGGGGTGGTTCGGATAACGAATCATGTACGAAAAAATATATTAATTTATCCCATGTTGAAATTTCTCTCCGTTGCGTGTCGCTTCGCGTTGAATTTTCGTCGATGTTAAGCCTAACGAAGACTATTGTATCGTTAAAAATTATTTTTTTATTTTGTACAAACAAAATAAATATATTGAAAAATATAAAAACAATAAAAAATTATACTTCAGATGTTAATTTAGTATCAAAAACGTAAAATATTTGAGTA